CGGAGGCGGCTGCCGACGCCCGGCCTGCGCCCCCAGGAACCAATCATCCAGCCTCGAGCGTTCGGGAGAAGGCGGAGGCCTCCAGTGCAGCCCGACGCTCTCAGCGGCCCGGGAAAGCATAGCGGTCAGCTCTGGATCTGACTCGGGCAACGCCACTCTCCCTGACGGTGGCAGCGCAGCCGAATCCTCATCTCCAGAGCCTAGCTCGCCCTCCGATGCAGCGATCGACATCCTGTCATCCGCCTGTGCTCTGCACAAGATGTTGGACCCCGCCCTGTCCGAGGACCCAGCACACTCATCCGGGAACACCAGGTGGTGCGACATGCCAGAGGAATGAGAGACCCGCGGAGACGTACTCGATGGGGAAGCTCTCACCGTGATCCTCAGGTCTCCCTGATCATGAATCGAAGTAGCCCTCCGAGAACCTGAGGAGCTAGAGCAGGGCATGGCAAGGGGGATACCCCCCCCCATTTAATGAGGAGGTATCTAGACCGCAACGTCGCGATGGTCATGTTCCCGCACTGAGAACATGACTCATCCATGAGCGCTGCTTCAGCGTGCTGTAAGCCCAGGCACGAGACACAGCGATCATGACCATCAGATGAAGCCAGGAAGCGACCACATCCAGAAACGTAAGACGCCCGTCGCTCATGAAGCTCTTTTAGAAATTGCTCTTTTTTTGAAAAGGAAAAACACTCTTTTAGAGAGAGCGCTGAAGCGCCCAGGGGAGGTCGCGGCGAGACTGCAGAATGGCAGCTGCAGCTCGCCGAGGTTTCAGCAGCCTGGATGGCAACTCCCGCTGACACGCCGTAACACCAATGCCAGCTGTTTCCAAACACTCACGGAGATTCGTCTTGTAGAAGGCTCGGCTCCGAAGCGAAAAGCTGATGTGCGAAACACGCACGCCAACTGTCATTGGCTTGTTTAGTTTACACTCAAAGGGGATTGGGCTCTCGGGCAAGATCCCAATTCGTCAGTTACAACTGAGAACATGAACAACGTAGAACGTGACTGACTGAAAGGGAACCAAGGGTTCCCAAACTTTTGAAGTGGGTTATTTTAATAATTTCAGCTATTTTTTTTGTCTTGTGGACTATAAGTAAACATCTTTTATGTAAAATATCTTACTCAGGACTAGGGCTGTGCAATATTGAAGAAAAATATTCGATATGCGATACGATAATGCTTAAAGTGCCACATGCTCAGATGAAACAGTTTTACTCAGCTGTTGCTGAGTCAGTTCTGTGAACTTCTATAACTATCTTGTGTCATATATACATATATATACAGTATATGGTTATTTGTATGTATGTATGCATGCATGTATGTATGTACCAAGAGTTCCTGTAAAACCACAACAAATTCCTTGTGTATGTGCACACTTAAGTGGTGAATAAAGCTAATTCTGATTCTGATTCTAATAAGAAAGCACCCCTACAACAACTTCTGAAAGTGAACGGTAAGTGTTTTACTCGAGCATTACATAAAAATGTCATTTTAACATTAGTGTAATCATTTTAACATGAGTTTAGGAACTGAATAATAAAAAGGAAAAATAAAACACTGCTTAGTATTTACTCTTTGAATTCAATATGAACTGATTCTTATTTAAGCTACAAAAGTTATTTAGGTAAGAGCAGTGAGCGATTTTCTCTGTGTCTTTTGTTCATGGCCCCAAATATTGCAAGCTGCAATTTGCGATATGTACATTTGCGATATTTAGATAATTTTGATATATTGCACAGCCCTACTCAGGAGAGTACTAAATAAAAAAATAACATGTATTTTGTATGATCCCTCTTATTTTGTTAAAATTATTCACATTTTCACAGATTCTGCAAGGGGTTCCCAAACTTTCGCATGCCACTATATTAATAACATATTGGCTGTTCATTACTACTTATAAAGCACATATTCTGCATGACATTATTCTGCATTCCTAATCCTACCCAATACCTAAACTTAACAACTACCTTACTAACTATTAATAAGAAGCAATTTAGTAGTTTATTAAGGCAAAAGTCATAGTTAACGGGTTGTTAATAGCAAGAATTGGACCTTAAAATAAAGTGTGACCCTTATTTCTTTAATATGATTTTATTGTGAATCTTTCACGAACCTGACACTCTGCTCTGCAAGTCTGTCCTTGTCTAGAGACACGGACAGACTCATCAGAACACAGCAGCATGCATCTTTCACGCTGTTAATATAATTATAACACCACTGACACCCAAAGGCTCAAACTTTGACTTAATATGCACAGATAGGTTCGTCGTCAGTCGAGAACACTACATGCCAAGTGATCAGTGTAGTTAAGCGAAGCATATCAGGCATGAGAGCTTGCGCCAAAAGCCGATTTAGTGTTCTGGAGCGGAAAGCGCGGGAAAGCAAGATGACCCAGTTCGGTGAATTACATAATATACGGCAGACGCCTGGCCTGCACTCATTGACTATGTACAACTCACTATGTCAACTATGTCAACTACCTGTATTGGCAAGGGGGCGTGAAGTTTCCGGACCACGTGCACTACAGTAGTTGGTTAACGAATCACAACACACTGGGCCAGCTAACCAATCTTAGCCCGATTGTGTATTTCTGAGGGAGGGGCTGCATAGAACCAGGAACTCAAGAGACTGTTTGTGACGAGAATGGAAACAACGGTGTAGAATAAAGGTAAAATATGTGAAAATAATGTGATTTTTTAAAAATGAAGCATGAACATGTTACACTGCACCCTATAAACACTTTCCCCATGAGCTGATTCGCTACACAAGCCTTCGAAAAAAAATGAACCCTTTAAGGGCTCCCTGCAGTTTCCCGCCTAAAATAAGAGCTTGATGAGCGTTTCTCTATTTGGTTGTGTTGTAAGTATTTGCAGCTCGTTTCTTTATTAGTTTGTTTTGTAAGTATTTGCAGCGTGTTTCTTTATTTGTTTGTGTTGTGAGCATTTGCACCGTGTTTTTGTATTTGGTTGTGTTGTGAGTATTTGCAGCACATGCACTCTTAAACTGATGAAGATTTTTCTTCATTTGCTGGTGCTTTTTCTATCTGCATGTGTTTTCTGAAGTTGCAGCGCATTGCGCTCTCTGCCACCATAACATACAGACTACTTCCAAATTACTTATGGTGCTGTCTAGATACTCCGATCGATCGGCATCGGCCGATAATCACATTTTATGACTCGATCGGTACTCCCTACACTTGGCCGATCTCATGAACCGATCGCAATTTGATGACGTCAACTAGGGATGCACCGGTATCGGGCCCGATACTGAGCACTTGTACTCGTACTCATTAAAATGCCCCGATATCAAACGCCGATACCACACAGCATGTGATAAGTGCTATATTCAGACAAAGAAACACCGACAACAGAACAACAGTTGAGAGTTATTAGAGATTTTCGTATTAGTTAATTTTTAACAGCAGATTCAGTGACGTTAGAGCTGATCTGCGCCTCACTGCACACGTCTGTGGCGCGTTACGGCTCCACGGTAACCGGAGCTGATCACGGCTGCTAGTCAGTGCTTGTGTTTATGCAGTGGCACGTTTCTGAAGCGGCTCTCCGCGCTGCTTGGCTAAAAATAGTCTTTTGTGAGTTGTCACAGCGTGGAGGACGGAACAAAACCTTGTCGGAGTCATAAGGGGTAATGGTAACAACACGCTGATCGTGGGCTGTTTTTAAATTAACATTTATTATAAAACAAAATATCTTCTTTGGCCATATTAGCCTACTCAATAGCATTAACACATCTTTTCATCTTTTCAAACTTTATCTGGAATGTCACCATTTCTGTCACTGCAACTTCCCGATCAGGCGAACGAACACACACACACACACACACACACACACACACACTCACAAACGCTGCTTTATCAGGCATATAACATGCAAGATGAAATGAAAATGACATCGAAAATGTTCTAAAGATAGTCTTCCTTCAGAAATAAAGTGTTATATAAAAAAAACGGGCCTCGTTTTGATTTTTAAACGTGCAGTACATGCTCATGTTTATTCAACGAAGCCTTTTGGAAAATCGGTCAATTTTGATATTGTGGCGAGCGCCACAAATAAATAAATGTATGGGAAACACATCCCACAGCACAACCACCTGAGATCAACTTCAGTCTACTCATCACCTTAACTTTAACTACGTTTGTAGCCGGCGCCATAGCCAGACTGACAAACAAACACAGACCAGAAATTAACTTCAAGCCAGGTGCGTGCACCTGATGAAACCATCTATATTTTTTACTGAATTATAATTATATAATATTATATTATATAAGTCTATATAAAGCTTGTAGCATCAGAATCGGCATCGGCCGATCACCATGACAAGAAATTGGTACTCCGTATTGGCTGCAAAAATCCTGATCGGAGCATCCCTAGTGCTGTCTTTTTATTTTTAGGATTCTGCCCCCATTCACTTTCACAATACGGAAAAGAGCAGCATGGACATTCTGCTAAATATATCCTTTTGCGTTCCATAGAAAAATCATTCAGGTTGGGAATGACATCAATGTGAGTAAAAAATGCCAAAATGTTCATTTAAAAGGTTTCTGCATAACTACTTCTCCTATGAAAAACAGGGTAATGTACCTAATCTCTGTGAAAATTCGTAGAACTTCTTTAGTTTGCCTACTAGTGGCACCACAGCAGCCCACGCCTGGTCTTGTAATGCCTCATCATTAGGGCTCTGGATTGCCTGAAAAAACAAACACAACATCTTAATAATAAAACATCTGGCGAGTTATAAACAACATTCCCACAAGTCTAAATGGAACATATTATTTTATGACCGTATGAGGTTGTGTTATAATTATGTATGTGAGATGAGGTTTTTAAATGATGTGCCCATGAGGGTGGCAATTTGAGGATGTAAATGATGTCAAATCCAAGCACACAAGAGGTTTGAAGGTTTATTCATTATGTTGTTCCATTATGACACTGGGCAGAACATCTAGTCAGTGTTTTTTCTTTCCACCTCAGTGTGCCTTTGAATTTCCAAATACATGAGGCTCATTAAAATAATTACTGAGTGTGCTGACATAAAAAAAGGAATGCACCGCGTTCTTTTGAGTGAGAAAAAAGAAATAAAAGAAAAATTCACTTTCATTCTGCAGAAGACGCCAGTCCATGGCAACTGTATCCGTATAGCAACAGTATCCGTGGCAACAAGATTATCAATCACTCTGACACTCACTCATACCAAGGCGTGATTGAGCAGAGCAGAGAATTTCAAATCATATGAACATACTACGAGATGTTTTAAAGCCACTGATATTATTCCTTCAACTAATTTTTGTGTGAATTAATGTACACACTGTAAAGAGTCAACTTTGCATGTACAACTTTATAAGTGCATACACATAAGTCAAACATCAGCAGACATCTGTTATCTTGAGAGTGTGCCTGTACCTCTCGTATCTCTTGGCCCGCGCCTTTATATTCCTGTAGTTCGTCAAGTATTCCCAGTGCATCCTTCAGGACCACATCCACTTCGTCCCACGTTTCCTGCTCTGCTTCTGTTGGCTGGGCATCTGAAGGCAGAGAGAGTGGGTCTTTAATCAAAAGGTCTTTCAAGGTCACATTTAGTCAGTGTCTGACACATTAAAAGCGAACATACTGTACATATGCAAATCACGAACAGGTATTAGAGCTTTATACCTTACAGAATGAGGCAAGATTAAAATGAAAGAAAGAACAAAGAAAACAGAGTATTTGGTAATACGTTGTATATTATATTGTGTGTGTGCTGATACTATGGGCAAATTCTACTATTACTACAGAATGCTCTGCAGAATGCAGAGTACTACAGAATGCAGAGTGCTCTGAAGGAAGGGCATTACTGTATAAGTACTCTTTTAAACATTCCATTCATCAAAGAATCCAGAAAAAAAAGTATCTTGGTTTTCACAAAAATATTAAGCAGCTCAACATTTTCAACATTCATAATAATAATAAATGTAAATGAGCAGCAGATCAGCATATTAGAATTATTTCTGAAGGATCATGTGATACTGAAGACTGGAGTAATGGCTGCTGAAAATTCAGCTATGACATCTTCGAAATAAATTACATATTAAATTATAATAAAACAGAAAACAAGCATTTTAAATTGTTATATCATTTCACAATATTACTTTTTATTTATACAATATTACTTGATGTATTTTTGATCAAATAAATGTAGCATTGATGAGAAACATCAAACTAACCCTAAACTAATCATCACACTTCCATTTTATTTTGTTATTAATGTAACCTTAATAACAATGCAGTAAAATTCGTATTTATGAATAATTGCTGGGGCAATTAAATGTTTGTGTTAAATATTACTTTGTGCAGTTTTTTTTTTTTTTAAGTTTACTTCAATTTCTAAAAACCATTGCATTTTGTTTATTAAAAAAATAACACCCTGGTTAATTTGAACTACAAATTATGTTGTTGATGTGACCAATGTAAATATACTTCATTAGCAGACCTTTTATTAATACCTTTTACTCTACTAGTAGTATCTTATATACACTTAAATTATAAGTACACTTATATAATTTGGACTTGGAACTTGAACTTTGGATATACACAGTCCAAACTTGACATCACTATCAGATGATTGTTGTGCAATTCAGAGGCCATGCAGACTTCTGCTGAACATCTTCATTTGTGTTCCAAATCAAACTGGTTTGGAGTGACAAGAGAGTGAGCAAATGATGACTAAATTCAATTTTTGGGGTGAATTACTCACTGGGGATCTTAAAGCGTATTTTAGTCAATCCTCCACAGTTGAGCCTGTTTCATATGTTTAAAAGGCAAAGAGCGGAGTTTAAAATGGTGGAAACTTTAGGCCCACATCTAAAAAAGAAACCTCAATGAGACACTGGCAGCTGTTAACTACAGCTGGCTTCAAATGCAATTTAAGAAATTAAGGGCCACCTCCTTAATTTCCAGCATTCAGATGCCATAGATTAAGAGTGCAATGATCTCTCAGCTTTTTAATCCATCTATGTTTTCGTATTGATACAGTAGTTCCTGTTCCAGTGCTCCAGTCTCTAGCACTCCCGCCCTCTTTATTAGTGTTACATAACTCTTGAGCAGACACTATAGGAATTTTTATTATATGTGTGCGACCGATGAGCCATGAATGAGTCAATGGATTGGGTGACTCCATATCGCCACCTGCCTTTCTTCAAAGGAACGACTATATGACTAAAAATGGAGACAAACATGGTAGGATGAAAATGTTCTGTGGACAAGGGTAATAAAAGCCAGGAAACTGTTATTTTCCACTGTCTTCTTTTCTTTGGTTCATTCACCTTCCTTCGCTTTGGAGAGTTTTTGGGTTCAAACAAATGAGATGGTAGCAGATTGTGTGTGGTTCATGAACTAGTCTCCAAGGGAAAGGAGTTTAAGATAGTATCAAGAAGACCCAAAAGGGGAACTGGCATTTTTTACAAGTTGACCGGGTATTGACCTACACCAAGTCTCCCAGAATCCCAGTTCTCAAACATACCAAAAAGGACACGTGAGATGCTAAATAAGTGCATTTTGAGGTAAGCTTGGAGAATGAAGGATTGTTTACAGCTAATAAATGAAAGAAATCAATGGAAAGAGGAGAAGTATCTCACTTTCAAAATCGAGGAAGAAGTTGGGCTCTTGTTCAAGATCTGTGCATGTCAAAACTTTAAGGAGGTTCCCCATGACAATGTACCTAAAGGGAAAAAGAAAGACAGAGTTAAGTCACATATTTTGAACAGAAATCCTAAATCTGATGGTCCGATCCAGGTTGGGCAGCACTTAACAGCCTTACTTTGATTCTATCATGGCACTAATCTCCCCCGTTATCAGTCAAGAAACCATCGCCCTTCCAACCACCAGTCAACGCTCCTTCCCTTTACCCCACAGCTTCCACTCTCCAGACGCAGTGGTTTTCCTGTGCAGGGCCTTGGGTCGACCAGATGTCACTACTGTAACCCCCCTCCTTCAGCACACACACAGAGTTACGGGAATCCCTGTGCTTTGGTGGCCAGTGCCAACCGTGCATGTCATGCCTTCTGCTCACGTTCAGTTCCCTATTGAGGGGCCCCAAGCTTTCAAAGTCAAGATTTAGGAAGTAGTGTTTTTAGATGTAAAAACAGCCCTATAAAACCATTAATTCTCTTGGGATAACTGAGACTACTGGGTTTAACATTTTGTGTTTGCAAAACATGAATAACAGTACACATGAGTGAAGTACAGAAGCAAGGCCAAACTATCCTTTCAAACAGCAAAATCGTGGATGGAAAACTCACATTCCCAAGATATTCAATAGAGGGGTCATTTCACAAAGAGCATGCATGGTAAGCGGCTTGTTCAAAAACAGTTTTTGTGATGGTGTCACAACCATGGGCTCATTAATTAATGATTAATTAGTATTCAGCAGCTTGGACTACTCTGATGAACAATAGTGTAAGCAACACCGCCTCGGACCATGGTCGAAAAAGAAAATGAAAAGACGGAACAACAGCAAATAACTTGAGACAACAGCAACAATAAATGCCTGTGTTGACGAGCGCACCAACTTTCTGGTGCACAAGTTGAGCACCTGTGTCCCCCATGCTATCAACTGGAGTGTACTGTGAAAGGCTATGTATTCAGCTGTACGCATGTGCTAAGTAAACGCAAAACTAAAGCACACTTTGGGCTTTAGGATGACGTCCCAAAGAGTGTAAACAACAGTTAAACAGTCCAGCACAGTAACTTCACTCAGTTGACTCAATCAATGGTGTGAGTTTCAGAATTAACTGTTAGCACCAATGGAAAATGGGGGAGTATTTGGGAAACCTGCTTAGAAGTGTCATTGTATTTGCAACTACTCTTGGTGATGCAGGTTAAGCTATGACTAACATGGAAAGTTGATTGCCAATGCTACAGATCTGTACAATATTGCTCCAATTAGGGTTTGGCAAAAAATCAAATGCGATTTTCATGCAAATCTTGTCAGTAAAGCCGCTTCTGGTGATTAGTAGTAAAACTACTCTGTGTAGTAAATGCCGCTCCATCTGAAAGCACGTGCTGGAGATTTACTACTATTCACCAGAAGCGGATTTACTGACGAGATGCGCATGAAAATCGCATTTGATTGTTTGCACAGCCCTAGCTCCAATACATTTCAAATGATAAAAAACGACTTTTTAAGCCTATCTGTGAGAAAATCAACTATAAAAGAAAGATTCTGAGAAAACACACGGAAGGTGAAAAAAACATCCTTCCTCCAATGCATACCAGGCTCCTTCAACACAGCCACCTGACATCAAACCCGATAAACACTGTTAGCTGATGGGAAAATGCCTCCACCACAACTCTCAAATGGCATTTCTCTGTATAAAAGCAGTTTTTACCAAGAACTGCACTGGTCTGAAGGAAAGTTTTTTTTCTATGAGTGTCAGGAGAGGAGCTGTACACATTTACCAAATGCACAGTTCAGCTGCAGATAACCGATTAAAAATTTCAACTAAACAGAAGAAAAATACGTAAAACAAAAAATTAAAAAATGTTATGCTTAATTTATTTAGAAACAAAACTGAATTTTAATGACAACCATAACATAAAAATAATTGCCAATATATTATTGGTATTTTAAATGCATTAAAGCCAATAACCAATTTAAGAGAAATAATATTATATAATATAATATAATAGCACTTTTAGGTGTAAATTGCCATCTTTGCCTACCTGTTTATCTATACACACACACACACACACACACACAAAACTGGAAGAGATTTAGGCCTATACAATGCCTTGACTAATCTGCAATTCTTTCACAGCCTGTCGTAAAGGTATCTGCATAATACAAACAACTGAACAAAAAAGACTGAACAACACAAAAAGACTGGGTTGTGTTTACTTTTACTAATGTTGGTTTCGAGTCAACCTAAGTCGAGTCCAATTCGACGATCTATTATTTATTACTATCTTAACATTGTTTTAACCTTTACAACTAAAAAACGCAATATCCATTTAAATGTAACTAAAGCAAACCTCTATTGCATCTTGCCATTTTGATATTTGATTAATAATTAGTGTCCTGTAACAGAAGTTATGGCTGAATTGATTTATGTATTGAGACATATTTCAGAGTAAAACAGGTTTTAGAATGTGAAAAATTAAAGGGCGGGACTTGACTTTAAAGTAAATGTATAAATTCAAAGGTGGGGGTAAAGGAGTATGTTTCTTGGTGAATGGGACCTTAAGAGCAGAAAATGCACCTTTTATCTATTTTGAATGAAATCTTATTCTATTGATCAGTGTTTGAAGTTGAACCATTAAAGAAGAAACTGCATTTTAATTTCTGGGTTAAAAAAACTAAAAATGACTGGACGCCAAAGTACACGGACCCCTTAGACAGGGCATTTTGAATTTTTTCTTGGATGAAAATGAGGCTGTGAGGGATAAACCAACCTAGTCTGTACAATGGCACACACTGTGTATAAAAGCCCTACATATACTTTCCATAAGTCACAGCCAACTCACACCCGTTTTATTTTTTAATGCATTTATAGTTACATTAATTACAATAAATTACATCATGTAAGGAATAATTGATGACGGGCCGTTGAATTATTAGAAAATAATGCACACCCAAGGTGATTTTGGACCCATAAAAACTATTGCCGCAAAGAAACTGCCACTAATACAAAAGCAAAAAACAATAAACTAATGTAATAAAACATTCTCAAGCTTAACTGAAGGCAAGTAAACACTCCAAGTATTACTTACAAGCTAAATGATAAATAAATATATTACTCAAAAATACAAATTAAATAGTCCTATAACTTGTTTCGCTTCGGTTTCAGTTTTTATAACCATTACACTATGTGTAAGTTGTTGTTTTTTAGCATGTGTCTTCGGCAGTGTTATTTTTTAGGATTACTGATAAACTACTAACAAATACTATTTGATTTGTATTATTTGTATTTGTTATTGATTTTAATTTTAGTTAAATTATGTCTGAATTTATTATGTCTGTATAGGTCTTTTATTAAGTTTTTAGTTTTCTTCAACAAACTAAATGGAAATGAAATAATATATATATTGAACTTATAAATGTGTATGTATATATATATATATATATATAGAGAGAGAGAGAGAGAGAGAGAGAGAGATAGAGAGAGATATAGAGATAGAGAGATATAGAGAGATATTTATTTATATATAGATATGTGTGTGTGTGTGTGAGGTTGTACATACACATATGTAGTTGTTTTTTTGGTGTTTGGCTTAGTGTTATGTTAGAATCATTATTATACTCTTATACCTTTTGTTCTTTAATATTTTGAATTGTTTTTAGCTTTATTTTTTGCTTTTCATTTAAATGTTAAGTTTTGAAATTTTGTTTTTAATTTTTATTTAATCTCTTTATTTTTAAAATGTGTATAGGTAGTATTTATAAAGTTTTAGCTTTTAGTTTTGGATTTGTTTTTAATTGTTTTAATACTACAATTGATTGCTTCTGTTGTCCTCATTTGTAAGTCGCTTTGGATAAAAGCTTCTGATAAATGACTAAATAAATAAAAATAGTTTTTTAGTTTTTTCAGTAGTAAAGGCTTCTACAGAATTAGCCTACTACAGACATTTCGTGAAGTAATAAATATTAAAATAATCTTCACTGTATACAATACATTAAATATAGATAATTCTTATTAAAGTTAATAAGTGATTCAGTCAAGAGCAGTGAGTGATTTTCTCCTTTTCTTTTGTTTGATTAACACTTGATTCACTTAAGACAAAACCGACTGCAGTCTCCAAGACGGGCATTTTGACAACTTTTCGTGTAAGTGTGTAGCAATAACAGAACTTAAGAGAACTTAAGCGAAAGTTCGAAAGTTATTCTGTGAGCGTGCTTTCGGTCTGTGAGCGCAGAAACCCGTCTGCTTTCAAGTACTGGACAACACTTAAAAACACATGCAAATACTGAATATCAATTTTGTGATAATGCATTGAGTCAGTGACATTTCCGTCAACGGTCCGTGGACTCGGACATATTTTCCGAGTCAAGTCAGGGTAAAAATGCATCAGAGTCCATGACAAATCCGAGTCCTTTAGAAAAAAATTGTACTCAAGACCGGACTCGAGTCCGAGTCCGAGTCCCCAAACTCTAACTTTCACCTAGTACAAAAGATAAAAGAGGAGAGTAAACAAGAGGGAAAGGGTCAATCTAGGCCATAACAACAGCAGCGTGCTGTGCATTCCTGTGCCTCTGGCGGGAAGAGTGATGAGTGTAAGAACACACACATAAGCATACAGGCGGCTAGATGTAGGTCACAGACATGAGTGTGTATGTGTGTGTGAATGGGTGTTATATAATCTAGCTGATGATCTAGCTGCAGATCTAGACAGCATGAGACAAACAGTCACTCCTATAGTACATACACATACATGTGCAGGTGCACATAAATGTAAAAATCAAAGTATAAAAATAACTAATTGTTTTTTTGTTTTTGTTTTGAGTCAACAAGGGATATTGGCAGTTGGTTTATGTAATTGGTTAGTATGTGATGAGTCATACACAGTACATTTTCTTAACTAACATCCAAGATTTCAGGTTAAGCATAAAAGGGAAAACTCACAATTTCATTAAAATTTTTTTAATTTAATTAAAAAAAATATATTAAAAAAAAATCAATCAATACAGTGAAGTGCAATACAATGACCAAAGACAAGACGAAA